ATGGGGACAGCTGGGGGTACCTGAGGCTGCAACAGAGAGGGGACAGGTGGGGACAGTGAGGGACAGCTGGGGACAGTGACAGGGACAGCTGGGGGTACCTGAGGCTGCGACAGGGTGGGGACACTGAGGGGACAGCTGGGACATCCTGGGGACACGTGGTGACATACGGGGACACTTGGGGACACGGAGGAGACACATGCGCCCACCCGGGGACACCTCAAGGCACTGAGGGGACACCCGGGCACGCCTGGGCACCCCTGGGTCACTGAGGGCACCCGTGGGCACACTGAGGGGACACTGAGGGCACACCTGGTGGCCCCTGGTGACACGCGGTGGCCCCTGGTGACACGCGGTGGCCCCTGGTGACACGCGGTGGCCCCTGGTGGCCCCTGGTGACGCGCGGTGGCCCCCGGTGGCCCTGTCCCCGCTCTCACCTGAGGAAGAGCGCGCAGGCGCCGGCGCCCAGCACGAAGTCGGGTGCGATGTCCCCGAAGTGCCAGGGCACGCTGCGGATGAAGCGCAGCACGGGGTTGCCGCGCTGCCGCCGCGACGTCAGAGCCCTGTCGCGACAGGGACACGCCCCCGGGACGGGGACACGCCCCCCGAGACGGGGACACGCCCCCGAGCTGGGAACACGCCCCCCATGTCGTGATATGGGACAGGGGACACGCCCCCCGAGACAGGGACACGCCCCCGGGACGGGGACACGCCCCCCCGCCCAGGACACGCCCCCCAGCCCAGGACACGCCCCCCATGTCCGACAGGGGACAGGGACACACCCCCAAGATGGGGACACGCCCCCGTGTCGCGATATGAGACAGGGACACGCCCTGGAAACGGGGACACGCCCCCTAGCCCGGGGACACCCCCCCACGTCGCGATATGAGCACACGGACACGCCCCCAGCCCGGGACACGCCCCCCGTGTCGCGACAGGGGACAGGGACACGCCCCCCAGCCCGGGACACGCCCCCCCGTGTCGCGACAGGGGACAGATCCCCCGGCCCGGGACACGCCCCCCTATCACGATAGGAGCCCCAAGCCCAGGCACAGCCCCGCCCCTGTCGCGACAGGGCCCCGCCCACCTGGCGCGGGCTGACGATGACGCCGCTGCTGCTGGTGCCCGCTCGGGGCACCGGAACCGGCACCGCCGAGTCCCGGGGCTGGTCCCGGTCCCGGTTCTGATCCCCGGGGGTCGCGAGGGGTCCCGGGGGTCCCGAGGGGGCGGTTCCGGCGGCTCCGGGATCCCCGTCCCGGTTCTGATCCCGGTTCTGCTCCCGGTCCCGATCTCGGTTCTGATCTGGACCCCGGTTCTGGTCCCCGTCCCGGTTCTGCTCCCGGTCCCGGTTCTGCTCCCGGTCCCGGTTCGGCTCCCGGTCCCGGTTCTGCTCCCGGTCCCGGTTCTGCTCCCGGTCCCGGTTCTGCTCACACCGGGACACCCACGGGACACCGGGACACCCACGGGACACCGGGACACCCACGGGACACCGGGACACCCACGGGACACCGGGACACCCACGGGACACCGGGACACCCACGGGACACCGGGACACCCACGGGACACCGGGACACCCACGGGACACCGCCGGTGACACCGGGACCACCCACGGGACACCGGGACACCCGCGGGGACACCGGGACACCGGCGGTGACACCGGGACACCCACGGGGACACCGGGACCACCCGCGGAGACACCTCCGGTGACTCCGGGACACCTCCGGTCACCGGCGGGGACACCGGGTTAACCCCCCACGACCTTTCCCGGTCCCCCGTGATGTCCCCGGTCCCGTTCCCAGTCACTCCCGGACCCCCGGTGTCCCCACTCCCCCCGTTCCCGGTCCCCATCCCCGGTTCCGTCCCCGTTCCCGGTCCCCGGTCCCCACCCCCGGTCCCGTTCTCGGTTCCCACCTCCGGTCCCGTTCCCCGTTCGGTCCCCGGTCCCCTCCCGCCACCGCCGGTACCGGGGGTTCCTCGGGACCCTCCTGCCGAACGGTGAAGCGCCGCCGCTTCCCCCCCGGTGCCGGTGCCGGTGCCGGTGCCGGGTCCGTGGCGGCCCCGGGATTCGGGTCCGGGTCCATGGCGGGGTCCGGGGGTCCCGGGGCCGATTTTGGGGTCCCCGGTTCGGTTCCGGGGTCCCCGGTTCGGTTCTGGGGTCCCGGAGCCGCCGCGCGCGCTCCGGTACCGCGGAAGGGGCGTGGCCGCTTTCCTCCCCCACGATTGGACCACTGCGCTGTCAATCAAACCATCATCCCACCCCCTTTCCCGCCAATAGGAAGGGGCGGGGCGGCCGCGCGCTGGTGGGCGTGGCCATGGAACACAGACCACGCCCCCCGAGTGTGACAAAGACAGCGCGGGAACCGAACACCCCCGGGACCACCGGGACCACCGGGACCGGGAGCTGGCGGCGACAGGGACCCCGGGGACACCGGGGGGACACCGGGGGGTCACGGAGGGGACAAAAGTGCCCGGGGACAGAGGCACGGAGCAGCCCGGTACCGGAACCATCGGGGTTTGGATCATCCCGGTACCGGAATCAGGAGGTTTGGGACAGCCCGGTACCGGAACCAGGGGATTTGGATCATCCCGGTACCGGATCCTCACGGCTCCAGACCATCCCGGTACCGGAGCTATCGGGGTTTGGATCATTCCGCTCGGGGGACTCCGGTGCCGGTCCCGGTCAGGGGCTCCCATCCGTGGATCTCCGCTGCCGGTGCCGGTCCCGTTCGGGGGCTCCGATCCCGATCTCGTTTGGGGGTCCCGGTCCCGGTTCCGATCCCGGCCCCGTTCGGGGGCCCCGGTCCCGGTCAGAGGGTCCCGGTTCCGGTCCGGTTCAGGGGTCCCGGTTCCGGTTCCGGTCTCGTTCAGGGGTCCCGGTCCCAGTTCACGGGTCCCGGTTCCGATCCTGGTCCCGTTCGGGGGTTCCGGTGCCAGTCAGGGGGTCCCGGTTCCGGTCCGGTTCAGGGGT